AAAAAAAATGATTTTTAGTCATTAAAAATAATTTCACAACTAGAGTAATAAAAAAGTATTGTCGGTAATTAAAAAAAAATCAATTTTTCAATCTTGATTGAGCAATAAAAAATTATTTTTTTTAAATTAAGTAATTGTTAAAAAAAAACTAACGAGTTAAATTCTATTTTTAATTATTTAATTACGCAGCATGATTCGGGAAAAAAAATAAAATGATTACAACACTAATTAATTTTTTATCGCAATTATTTTTTAAAATAGTCTAATTGTGTTTTTTACCTTTAGAAAAAAGCCAATGGGGCCGATAGCTTGTCGCGTAGGCCCAAATCGCCAATAGGACCCCGGTGATTATTTCAAGTAATGCCATCATGATGTCTTGAGTGATTTACTGCAACATAAAAAAAATATTTCTAGTAAAAAATAATTAAGGTAAAGAAATAAAAAAAAATCTATCAGTCAGCGGTTAATTTAATCTCAATAAAGACAAAGATCCATACAATTATAATTGACCGATAAGTTTGATTATTTCCGCAGTAGTAAAGTACTGATTACTGTCGGCCTTAAACCGCTTAAACAATTTATCTTTTGTTTATTTATTGACTTCCTGCGGCTTCAATTGCTCGGTTTAACTTAGAATTGCTTTAATCATTTTGATCACTTTCCGTTTCAGAGATACTATTATAAATATAAATATTCAACGCGAATTAATATTTTATATTTATATAGATCTCATCAGTATCTTTTGCGATACAGAAATAAGATTCAACTTGTTGACTTTCATTAAACAAATTAAATGAGTAGATAATTATAGAATAAAATTTTTTTTTACATTAATTTATTATTTATATTTTAATAATTTTGTTTTATATAATCCTTTTTGTGATACTTAATTTTTTTTTAAACAGAAAATTGCCAGATGTCTGCTATTTTCAGTATTATAATTAGAGCAACAGATGTACAATTTTTTAATTAATTTATGTCGGAAAAAAATTCAACAATTATATATTGTGACAGTTTTAAATTATATTTATTTTAACAATTATATTCTATTAGTATGAGTGTCATTTTTATTATTTCAATTCAGAATAATTAAATTTTTAAGATTAAATATAACAGAATAATTTATCAAAAAAAAAAATGTCAAAAAATCAGTTTGCTATTTCAATTATCGCAATATACTACTTAATATACAAGTGAAATATGATTAATGAATATGATTAGAAGTGAGTAAATTATTGTAAAATTAGATCACGCAACATACGATTATCAATTTTTTTTTTTTTTTTAATAATATTTATATATAATATAAGAAAAAAAAAAATTATCATAGATAACGCACGTTGTGTTTTATTTGTATTGCGAAAGTTATTAAGTCGGGGTTAATGTATGCGTATATATAAATGTTGCAAAATTTCATTGTCATCCGAAATAAATATTCATTAACAGTAATATATAAATGTAAATATATATAAAATATAAAAAGCACACTGTTAACTCGATATATTTAATAATTTACAATAGAATACATTATATGGGTTATCAAATGAGGCTAATTGCGTTAATGGTGAATGACCGATAATCATAATTTCTAAATACTCACTTTAGAACTATTTTATTGCCCGTAGACAACCCATACACATGTTAATTAAAACACGCACTAATTAATCAGCCGGAGAATTAACAAATAAATAAATAAATAAATAAATAATGTATTTCGTATCTCGTCACTAATTAAATAATTGAAGTTATTTATTTGTTTTAAAAAATTGATCGCATTTCCGAAATACAGCGACCTCGAATTTTAAAATGCAAATTTTGTTTATTGACTCACATTATCATTGATAATTATTAAATTATTGAATAAAAAAAATAATGTAAATAAAGAAGCTTACTGGTTGTAATAGCAATAAATTTAGAGAGTAATTGATGTAATTAGTAGTAAACATCAGTAATGACCGTACGGGCGTTACTGACAGACTAAGCGAGTGTCCGAGAGTCGAGTCCGAGACAGCGTGGGCCTGGACGATTGTGATCACGCTCGAGATACTGATTATCGCAACATCTTTGCCCGTGGGTCAGGCCGGAAACTCAAATTACAATTATGACAATTGCTCTAGTACTCACTTTGGAAGGTCAAGCGCAGTCCAGATAGGATATCGGTCAGCAAACAAATTATTTATTATAAATTAATATTTTAATTTAAATATTGACTAATTGTTTGTAATATTTAATTAATAGTTTAAGACGAATTAAACTTCACTAGCTAAGAAGAATAAATGAGTGAAGAAAGACTGGTGGAATAAATATATAGCTTCACTGAGCACACATGTACGTAACTTAACTTGATTGAGTCGTAAGAAAAACTGTGGAATTGGGTGACAGTCGGAGTATTATTTATTTGAGACGGGAAGAAAGGGAAACTATTAATAACAGTACAACAGGTTATAAATAGTAACTATTGATGATGATAATTTTATCTGCAGTGATAAAAAAAAAAATAATTATTGTAGGTGGTGTTAAAAAATTGAGGAGGAAAGTGGTATTAGTCAGGCACGGGGGTGAAGCGGGATTACCGCCTCCCCAAGCGTCTGCGATCGTACTGATCCTAAAAAGTATCAGGACACGTTATATTTTTGAAAAGATAGGGGAGGAAGAAGCTAACTAAAGCTACGAAGGGGATTGGGATAGGAGGGAGATACGCGACCGTGGACAAACGTGTGGGGAGGACGAGGACTCTGTCGGGGGGACAGGAGACAGGAGGCGAAAGATAAAGTAAGGACCCGTTGCTGTTACGAGCAAAGGGGAAGCAGAAGAAGAAGAAGAAGAAGAAGAAGAAGAAGAAGAAGAATGCAGAAGAGGAAGATGATGAAGAAGAAGAAGAAGAAGCGAGAAAGAAGGCGCGGAAGAGAACGGAATCCCTCATTTTTTTATCTTTTCTTCCAACTCCTCCTACTTCTTCTTGGTGTCTCCTCCTCTTACTCTTATTCTTATTCTTGCGGCTGGTACTCACACTTAACTCAACAGACTCTCTTTTTCTACTCTTCTTTGCTTCCTTTTGTTGTGCTTGGTCTCATCTCCTCCGCCTTAAGAGTGACTCGTCTCTACTTTGTCTCTGGTATATACTTCCCTCCTCCTTTTAGTCACGCATGCATTTTACGCACGTGTGTCGTTATCGTCGGGCACATTACAAGACTCTTCGTGTCTCATGTATATGACGCTATCACGGTTTGTTTTTTACCGAGCACTTTTCTGTTTGTTGTTTTTATAGTTTATTTTCCCACCCTTTTTCCTTTTTCAAGCTTGCTTTGTTTATTTTCGCAGCCTGGTAGCGAAAATTAACCACCGTATAGTACACCGACACACCGACAGCCTGGGACAAACTGTTCCATTCGCTTTTGCTTCATTTGGCTTTGTTCCTTTTGTTTACGGACCGAGCGAGGTATGACAACAGTCAGCTAAACTTGTTGTTTTTATTGCTGTTATTGTTGTTGTTGTTGTTGTTGTTGTTGTTGTTGTAGGAAAGAACAGAGTAAAATCAAGCTAAAGTTTGGTGTAATCGGTTGGTTGTGGTTCTTTGGCGTGAGTACCACCGAGAAGAATATAATATAATAGGTATTATTTATAAATCAGTCGAGATCTGAGACAGCAATTGTAATGGACAATTTTTTTGTTTAAGAATTTTAGATAACATTCTTTAATTGCAAGAAAACTGCTATTGATAAAAATTATGACATTAAAGTTAGCAGTTTAATTTTATTTAACAAAAAAAAATTGTTCCAAAAAATTGCATTTTTTAATTTTTTGAATTTCTACATGTCAATTTTTTTTTGCCATTATTTCTTTGTTATATAATTCTTAAAATTATTAAATATATTCTAAATCAATTTTCATTGAAAATTAAGTTAGTCGACATCTATAAATTTTTATAATTTTTTTTTTATTGAAAAAATTATTACAAAAAAATTTTTATTTGTAAAAAACTTTAAAATCTACAAGTGCAATTTTTTAAAAATATTTTTTAGTTCTAATTTAATAAATAAAAAAATTATAAATGTCGACTAACTTAATTGTTATAAAATAACGATTGGGGGTTGGAATAAGTACTGATTATAATTTGATAGCAATTATTTATTTTTATCTAAATATATCAATTTTTCAATAAAAAAATTGATAAGTAGAAAAAATGTATGGCACTAATTAATGAAAGAAAATTGATAATAAAAGTTTAAAAAAAATCGATTATTAAAGTATAATAATAGATTAAATAAAATTGATAAATTGTTTTGTAAAAAAAAATATTTTGAAATATTGGGGATTGTTTTTATAATTACAGCCATAATTTAAACTGTCAAATTTTAATAATTATATTTAAATGAGTGATAAAATTTTGATGATAAAAATGATTAGTTTTGTAATACTTACTGATTACCGAATATATCTGGCTAACTTACGCCGCTAGTAAACAACATTAATTATCGATATTGTCCAGATTTTTGTGGTAATTACATAGAAGATAACTTTATTGTTATTTAATGGATTTAAAAAATTTCCGTTAGATTTTTTTTAATATACTTAGATAAAAAATGTTAAAGTTAAAATTTTATATTTTAAAAACGTATATAATTAATAGCAAAAATATTTTTAAGCCATCAATAACCTTGAAAAATTAATAATAAAAAGTAATTGACAAAAATTTAGGTTGTAAATAATTTTTTTATTAAAGTTTAAATAAAAATAACTGGAATATTTTAACTATCCCCATAAAAATTTGAGCGTGGCAATTCGTCAGCGACCAGGAGAAGAAATTAGGAGCACTACGACAACGAAAAAGACAGCGTGGTAGGTTTTGCATCAACTGGAGTATAAAAGGAACAATAAAAATAAAAAGAGAAGAAAGAAAAAGTAAAAATAAAATAAACAGGCAGATGTATTATTATGTCATACATAAGCGCGGTGCAGTGAAGCGAATCTCGAGCGGAGTAGAGTAATTTTTCTTTATTTTATCCTATCCCTTCTTTATACTCTACACTCTACTAAGCCCGGTGCGTGTCTGATGCGACGAAGATGATAAATAAACCAAAAAGAAGAGATACAGGAAGGATAAACTCGGACAACAACGATCGTATTGTGTTATTTCGTGGCTGTGGTTATGGGAGCTTTTGCTTGAAGGGAATCCCACCATCCTACCGGTTCAAGCCCAACTAAACAGCAAGGTATAAGGTATAAGTATGAGTAAATATTAAAATTAATATATTTATTTTTAAATTTAAATTTTTATTAATATTTATATTTAGATTTTTTTGAATTGGTTAAAAAAAAAAAAATGTAAAGAAGATGATACATAGTCAAGTCTTTGCAGCTTGGTCGGGTAAAAAATCAACGTGCAAAGTGGATGATTTTGTGGTAGAGGGTAATAGAGGGAACCCTCATAGATATCGAGGAATGTTAGACCACCCATCGTCTTGGTCTAATATAATCTACTATAAAAATACGGGTATTATACATACGCCGCGGATGGATACATGTTAATGTTAAGGCCCATGCATATAAAAGTCGGAGATGAGGACGAGTAGAGGCTGTACTAAGCTAGCAGAG